TTCATTCAAAAGTAAAGACACTTAGACTATTTTGATCAACAAGACATGGTAGAAATATCATCAAATATTTGAAGTTTTAATAAGCACTTAGACTATTTTGATCAACAAGATATGGTAGAAATGTCATCAAATATTTGAAGTTTTAATCATAACAAGTGATTGCAAAATGTGAAACGTGTGGGAAATTAATTGCCATCATTATTTAAAGTTAATTTTAAATTGTTCAATTTTAAGCAATATGCTACTTTGAGGCAACTATTGCAGTTCACTTACCAATAGACAGACAAAAATTTTCATTGCAAAAGTGTTTGTAACAAACAAGCTGAGGCAGTCTCAATGTCACAATTACCTGTGGGAGAGCCGTACATTAAAAAATATTTGACGTTATTTGAAAAAGAAGGCAGATATTTATGTGTAGATATAGAACTATCTCTGAGATACAGAGCTGTTAAATGAGATAAGATATGTGCAAGTGTCTTTCCTGATACCTGTCTGTAATAAGAGAGTATTTCTCTTGGGAGACAGAGATGGAGGGGAAATCGCAGAATGCCTCAGGAAGAATGTAGAAGAAGTGCTAAAGGTAGTATCTTAACAGAAGGGGGATAAAAATGCTTAAAATTAATTGGCATCTTTTAATTTTCTTTTGTTATGATGTGCATATGTTATTTTCACAACACTACTTAGCAAAAAAAATTGGCAATACCACAGGAAACTGACATAATAAGAATGGGGGACTTTTTGTTGTTAATTTTCAGCTCTTTTCCCTGTAACAGCAGTCCAAACTTTTTATTTAAAAAATTTAATAAAAATTGTATACATTTAAGGTATACAACATAATGATTTGATATAGCTACATGGGGAAATGGTTGCTCTCGGAAAGCTAATTAACCTATAAAATCTGCACATTGTTGCCTTTTAAAATCTGATTAAGTGCACCTGAAATCTACTTTTTTTGCAAAATCTTAAAATTCAGCATGGTATTATTAACTATAGTCATCATGCTATAACTTAGCTCTAGATTTCTTTACCCTGCGGAGTTGCAACAATTTACCCTTTGAACAACATCTCCCCTCAAATTAGGAGATCTTAACATTTTCTTCAGCCTTTCACAAATCAAATATGAAATAGTAAAATGATAGAAATGATATCAAAGTTGTAATTGAGAACATACACTTAATAGAAAATATTGCAATATTCTTGGAGCATACATTAAAATATCTAACAAGGTATAAATATAAAGGTTAAATCACGTATTTCTTAAACACAAACACTTGCATTAACTACTTTGACACAGATTTAAATACAGAAATGTTTGATTCAGTAACTAAAAATATAAGCAACAATTTTCACCTCCAAACAAAGAAATACCAAATCCAGGACACGGGGATTGAATCTTCTACCCTAAGGAAAAGTGCAGAAAGTGTTTTAAAACCATATATTTTGATCATTTGAATAATGATGAACATTTCATCTTAAATTGAAGAACTGGCACAGAAGCAGTAATCTGAGGCAAATTCATAGCGTAACTGGTTTTTATTATGAAAGAAAAACTAAAATAAATCAATCTTTTGCCTCAAGAAGTTATAAAAACAGTAAAATAAGTAGTTATTAGGTTAATAGAAATTTACTACCTGAAATGGAAAAGCTATGCCTGAAAACAACTCTAAAAAGATGAAAACATGGAGTACATTTTCATCAGAAGCAAAAGATTATGATTTTTACTACATGAAGTTTCATTATATTTCAAATATAACAGTAAGTACAGCAGTGTTTTTGCATAGATTTGAAAATATTAAAGTTACTTAAAGCACATTCTATTAACAATTTAAAGAAGATATTTAATAGTCTCAAACTATGCTTAAAAAGAATATAACATGTATAAAATATACATGTAACTCATTATTGAAAATCAGAAAAAGTGCTCCACAAACGTCTTTTTATAAGGGATAGGCTTCAGATCTTGACAATATCAACCTTAACTGTGGAAACTTTAGAAATAAAATATTAAAACTGGAACAAATCCTGCTACAATTCCTTTATTCAACATGAAACTAAAGGTCAAAGTAGAAAAACTTAAAGTTAAACCTGTTCACAATACAGTCCAGATAACTAATAGAAACACCATGAAAATTGGAAGACATATTAGCAGAAACATAAGCATTAGCAAACTGGTTGAATGCTAGCAAAAAATTAAAAAAACATAGTTATTTCCATGTATCAGTAGTAACTAATTACATAGACATTAAATGGGGGGATGTCTTTTACAACACAACAGCAAATGTGAAGCTATGAGAATATGATAGAATATATCTAAATCAAGAATCAGGATGTTTATTGGAAAAAATATAAAATCTTATTGTATAAAGAAGCAACATAAACAGTGCTCAGAGGCTTTGAAGTTATTTTCAATTTATATAGAACAAAAATAACCATTTCCAAAATGAACAGATAATTTCTGTAATATCAGTAAGACAGGATGACCAAATCAAACTGGATAGAACATAAATATACATCACAGAAAAAAAAATGGTCAATAAGAGAAATGTCTTATCCTGTTATATGCAGGAACAGATCAATTTAGATGATTAGATAGCATTTTAGACCCAAAAGGAGTGACAGCAGTTTTAAAATTTGATACTACCAAATGTTGGCTATCCAATGGAGAGGAAAGAACTGTTCCCTTCCACTGCTGATGAGATTATAGGTTGTCAAACCCTTTTGCCAAACAGTTTGGCAAAATCCAGTATAGTTAAAGTAGGGTGAACACATATTTTTCAATTTTAGAAATTTACTTCAATTAATGTTATTTACACTGTGAAAAAAAATTGCAAATAGTAAATAGCAAAGCTTCTAAAATCAGAAGCCAAACAATACAAATAAAAATATAACTAAAGTAATGACTTTAGATAACACTTCACAAAAAATTTTTCTCACTGAGTGATACAATCAGGTTCAAAGATAGGCAGAACAATGGTACAATCATGTGTTCATTTCATATCTCTTTTGA